TATAACTCAGGAATTACTGGGCCGATCGTGACGAAAACGCCACCAGTCGATTCAGCGTATGCGATTTCATCAGACGTTTCGAATATGGTGACCTCAGGTGACCTCGGTGACCTTGGGAGGTCACATGACCGTTGTGGCCTATGGCAGCCATTCTATAACTCCGGAACTACTGGACCGATCGTGACGAAAACACCACCAGTCGATTCAGCGTATGCGATTTCATCAGTCGTTTCGAATATGGTGACCTCAGGTGACCTCGGTGACCTTGGGAGGTCACATGACCAATGTGGCCTATTGCAGCCATTCTATAACTCAGGAACTACTGGGCCGATCGTGACGAAAACACCACCAGTCGAATCAGCGTATGCGATTTCATCAGCCGTTTCGAATATGGTGACCTCACGTGACCTCGGTGACCTCAAAAGGTCAACTTTACGTTTTCGCCTATTGCAGTCATTCTATAACTCAGGAACTACTGGGCCGATCGTGACGAAAACGCCACCAGTCGATTCAGCGTATGCGATTTCATCAGCCGTTTCGAATATGGTGACCTCAGGTGACCTCGGTGACCTTGGGAGGTCACATGACCAATGTGGCCTATGGCAGCCATTCTATAACTCAGGAACTTCTGGGCCGATCGTGACGAAAACGCCACCAGTCGATTCAGCGTATGCGATTTTATCAGCCGTTTCGAATATGGTGACCTCAGGTGACCTCGGTGACCTTGGGAGGTCACATGACCAATGTGGCCTATTGCAGCCATTCTATAACTCAGGAAGTACTGGACCGATCGTGACGAAAACACCACCAGTCGAATCAGCGTATGCGATTTCATCAGCCGTTTCGAATATGGTGACCTCAGGTGACCTCGGTGACCTTGGGAGGTCACAGGACCGTTGTGGCCTATGGCAGCCATTCTATAACTCAGGAACTACTGGGCCGATCGTGACGAAAACACCACCAGTCGAATCAGCGCATGTGATTTCATCAGCCGTTTCGAATATGGTGACCTCAGGTGACCTCGGTGACCTTGGGAGGTCACGTGACCGTTGTGGTCTATGGCAGCCATCCTATAACTCAGGAACTACTGGGCCGATCGTGACGAAAACACCACCAGTCGAATCAACGTATGCGATTTCATCAGCCGTTTCGAATATGGTGACCTCAGGTGACCTCGGTGACCCTGGGAGGTCACATGACCAATGTGGCCTATGGCAGCCATTCTATAACTCAGGAACTACTGGGCCGATCGTGACGAAAACGCCACCAGTCGATTCAGCGTATGCGATTTCATCAGCCGTTTCGAATATGGTGACCTCAGGTGACCTCGGTGACCTTGGGAGGTCACATGACCAATATGGCCTATTGCAGCCATTCTATAACTCAGGAACTACTGGACCGATCGTGACGAAAACACCACCAGTCGATTCAGCGTATGCGATTTCATCAGCCGTTTCGAATATGGTGACCTCAGGTGACCTCGGTGACCTTGGGAGGTCACATGACCAATGTGGCCTATGGCAGCCATTCTATAACTCAGGAACTACCGGGCCGATCGTGACGAAAACGCCACCAGTCGATTCAGCGTATGCGATTTCATCAGCCGTTTCGAATATGGTGACCTCAGGTGACCTCGGTGACCTTGGGAGGTCACATGACCAATGTGGCCTATGGCAGCCATTCTATAACTCAGGAACTACTGGGCCGATCGTGACGAAAACGCCACCAGTCGATTCAGCGTATGCGATTTCATCTACCGTTTCGAATATGGTGACCTCAGGTGACCTCGGTGACCTTGGGAGGTCACATGACCAATGTGGCCTATTGCAGCCAATCTATAACTCAGGAACTACTTGACCGATCGTGACGAAAACACCAGCAGTCGAATCAGCGTATGCGATTTCATCAGCCGTTTCGAATATGGTGACCTCAGGTGACCTCGGTGACCTTGGGAGGTCACATGACCAATGTGGCCTATTGCAGCCAATCTATAACTCAGGAACTACTTGACCGATCGTGACGAAAACACCACCAGTCGAATCAGCGTATGCGATTTCATCAGCCGTTTCGAATATGGTGACCTCAGGTGACCTCGGTAACCTTGGGAGGTCACATGACCAATGTGGCCTATTGCAGCCAATCTATAACTCAGGAACTACCGGGCCGATCGTGACGAAAACGCCACCAGTCGATTCAGCGTATGCGATTTCATCTACCGTTTCGAATATGGTGACCTCAGGTGACCTCGGTGACCTTGGGAGGTCACATGACCAATGTGGCCTATTGCAGCCAATCTATAACTCAGGAACTACTTGACCGATCGTGACGAAAACGCCACCAGTCGATTCAGCGTATGCGATTTCATCTACCGTTTCGAATATGGTGACCTCAGGTGACCTCGGTGACCTTGGGAGGTCACATGACCAATGTGGCCTATTGCAGCCAATCTATAACTCAGGAACTACTTGACCGATCGTGACGAAAACACCACCAGTCGAATCAGCGTATGCGATTTCATCAGCCGTTTCGAATATGGTGACCTCAGGTAACCTCGGTGACCTTGGGAGGAATGGCTGCCATGGGCCACAACGGTCATGTGACCTCCCAAGGTTACCGAGGTCACCTGAGGTCACCATATTCGAAACGACTGATGACATCGCATACGCTGATTCGACTGGTGGTGTTTTCGTCACGATCGGCCCAGTAGTTCCTGAGTTATAGAATGGCTGCCATAGGCCACAACGGTCATGTGACCTCCCAAGGTCACCGAGGTCACCTGAGGTCACCATATTCGAAACGGCCGATGAAATCGCATACGCTGATTCGACTGATGGTGTTTTCGTCACGATCGGTCCAGTAATTCCTGAGTTATAGAATGGCTGCAATAGGCCACAACGGTCACGTGACCTCCCAAGGTTACCGAGGTCACCTGAGGTCACCATATTCGAAACGGCTGATGAAATCGCATACGCTGAATCGACTGGTGGTGTTTTCGTTACGATCGGCCCAGTAGTTCCTGAGTTATAGAATGGCTGCCATAGGCCACAACGGTCATGTGACCTCCCAAGGTCACCAAGGTCACCTGAGGTCACCATATTCGAAACGGCTGATGAAATCCCATACGCTGATTCGACTGGTGGTGTTTTCGTCACGATCGGCCCAGTAGTTCCTGAGTTATAGAATGGCTGCAATAGGCCACAACGGTCACGTGACCTCCCAAGGTTACCGAGGTCACCTGAGGTCACCATATTCGAAACGGCTGATGAAATCGCATACGCTGAATCGACTGGTGGTGTTTTCGTCACGATCGGCCCAGTAGTTCCTGAGTTATAGAATGGCTGCCATAGGCCACAACGGTCATGTGACCTCCCAAGGTCACCGAGGTCACCTGAGGTCACCATATTCGAAACGGCTGATGAAATCGCATACGCTGAATCGACTGGTGGTGTTTTCGTCACGATCGGCCCAGCAGTTCCTGAGTTATAGAATGGCTGCCATGGGCCACAACGGTCATGTGACCTCCCAAGGTTACCGAGGTCACCTGAGGTCACCATATTCGAAACGGCTGATGACATCGCATACGCTGATTCGACTGGTGGTGTTTTCGTCACGATCGGCCCAGTAGTTCCTGAGTTATAGAATGGCTGCCATAGGCCGCATTGGTCATCCCAGCAAACATGCCCACATGGGTCCCATATGGGGTGAACATGGGCCAGATGGGCCCACATGGGACATGGGCTACAGATGGGCTACCCATATGGGCCCCATATGGGATAAAAATGGGCCAGGTGGGCCAAACGCATGTGGGCTGGAGATGGGCATCCCATGTGGGTCCCATATGGATCACCCATGTGGGCCCCATTTAAGTTACTCCAAGTGCATACTAAAGCAAAAAAGGTGGCTGTTGTTCATGTGTATTTTGGACTCCAAGTATATCAAATTCATACATGATGCCATATGGGGTCAATGTAGGCTGGCCCATATGGGTCCCATGTGGGCGCCGCGTGGGTCCCATATGGGGCCTACGTGGGCTGGCCCATGTGGTTCCCACGTGTCACCCACTGGTATTCCCATGTGGGGCTCATATGGAAGAGGTGGGGGGGGGGGGGCATGTGGGCCCCATATGGGAACCATGTGGGCATGTTTGCTGGGATATGAACATTTCCTTTACTACAAAATTTTGGTAGCTGGCCCGACACCTATCTGGGCTGGATGCGGGCAGCATGTGGGCAGACTGGGCACCAGCAAGCTGGGCACACCCATCCGGGGCCCACATGGGGCCCAAATGGGCAAACTTTACTACAAAACTTTGTTAACTGACCCGACACCTATCTGGGCTGGATGCGGGCAGCATGTGGGCAGACTGGGCACCAGCAAGCTGGGCACACCCTTCCGGGGCCCACATGGGGCCCAAATGGGCAAACGCCCAGCCAGCATGCCCATGTGGGCCCCACATGGGCAGTTGATGGGCATGGTGGGCTAGGTGGGCCATGGGCTAGAGATGGGCAAATATGTGGGCCCCACATGGGCTGCCCACATTTTTTGGCAGGCATAATGATTGATAATGAGATTGCTTGCACCATGTACGAGGGCATATCCAGGAATTTTGGTGAACACAGGCATTCACGCGGTGTTCCTGTATGGTGGGCTTAAAATGGGCACTGCGTGGGCAGCCCATGTAGTGGGGTGTAGGTGGGCTGGATGTGGGCAACCCATTATTTATTTTTTCACTGTCCAATGTGTATGATATTACAAGAAACAAGAACTCGCTGTTTAGTCTCATGCCTCCAAAATACACTTCGACGACGTGAGGAAGTCGCATAGTTGATGTTTGTGAGACCAGCTACGGCTGATATTGGATAGCCAATGTTGTGATTGTGTCGTATGATTGTGTCGCCTGAGCCCGCCCCTGCGCGGGCGACCCGCCGGCGGAGCTCGGCCCACCGGACGGGGCCTGGGGCCGCCTCTGCACCGCCCGGGGCGGTGACCGGCCGACGGGCCGGTCGGCTGTCGGGGCTGCGGCGTCTGGGCGGGCCAGTTGGCGTTCAGACTCTGAGTGGTGTGCGTGTCCAATAAAGCCTTATTAAGCCACGGGAAGGTCGGCCTTGGGAAGACCAAGCTGTTCCGGGTGATCTTCCGTGAGTACCTTACAGTTTGGTGGTCACACCAATCTGTTCGACCATGGGAATGGGTCATTCAAATAAGTAATTTGTCAATTAGAAAAGCATAATAAAGGTTCCATGCGTGACATCAGTCACAAATGGTTTGACACCAGCGTTGATATTCGATTTAATGAGTAAACATCGCGCTCCTCGTTCCGCACCGTCTGTATCAAAACTAGCCAAAGTCGGTCTCTGGTCCTCCGTTTGAAGTGGCTGCGAAAATTACGGGAAACATTTAATGTTTGTTTCGAATATTAGTTAAAGGGACAATGTCATGTTGAAATTTGATATTTCGTAGGCCCCACCTTTCTGTTCAAGGAGCTGAAGACCGATTCTCGAAGTTCGACACCGTTCTCCCGCTATCGCCCCTCAATGTACGAAATGTGTGCACGCTTTGAATCGCATCAATATCCTCAATGTTTCAATGTGTCGCATCAATAATCGCAATAATCGCATCAATATCCTCAATGTTTCAATGTGTGCGCCGTTTCGAATTGGCCTCCAATAACAAAACTTTCCTGGATCTTTTCTTTAAACTTTATAAAGTCAACACATTTTTCCCACATTATCCTCAACGTTCACTTCCATTAAATACTCGGTAGGTATTTCCCAGGACTTTTCACTTCGCAAAAAAGTTAACAAGTTGATAGTGACGGTTCGTTCAAAAAGCTCTTGCAAAATGTTTCCCCGATTTTGGTCCTCAAACTATCCATTTTTGATTCATGGAAATTCAGCAACGGTAGTAAAATAAGGAGGCTCCCTGGCTTCCAATTTTTTTTTTATAATGACTGTCCATTTAACGCTTATCAGATAATGTGCTTACATTGTGGCTTTCTTAGTGTGCCCATGGGTGGAGAATGTTTGAAAAAGTTACCCCGGCCGGCGACCGATAGTCGCGGGAAGACGATATACTCACGTTGTTCTCAACGGTCATCATCAAACCCCTATTCTGACGAATGGAATAGGATGCTGTGTTTGCTCAAGGATGAGCGTTGTATCCGACACCGTATTATTCATAACATTTTTGGAATGATCGAAAAGGCAATTTCCTTTTAAATTATTGTTTCTTTTTACTTAAACTTCCAATTTCACACCGAACCCAAACCAAACCATATGCCATTTTGAGTACCTAAATGTTGCGTTTTCAGCTTTTTATTGTGTCTCAAAATAGCTACGAAAAGACAACTCACCATAGTAGAAGCTTTACAGAGAAATTGACAGATCGAACCAAGCAAAGCACTAAAATAGGTCACTGACATCCACGGGCGTAGCCTTTTTCAATGTTGGACGGCTCTTATAATACAAACAAGGAGTCGATCCAGGAATATCGACCGGTCCCGGTCTCGTAGCTCAGTTGCTAGAGCGTTGGATTCCGCGTGGCGAGAGCACGCGGCCCGGTTACAACAGTCCGAGTTCGAAGCATGATGGCCGCTCGGTGTTTATGAGCACCCTGACGGGTACGCTCATAAACGGGTGTGGTTGCGGTTGGTGGCAGGTCAGTTGAAGGCAATGAGGTCAAACAGTAGTTTTGAAAAAGTGCGCCGAAGGCGCGCCAAAATTTCGAAACTGAACAGGATGTGAGAGCAATCTTGGCATTGGCGACCACACGCGGGTCTTCGGGTTGGAGATTATGGCAAGTTAAGTAAATGGTAAATACCTACCTGATTTGCAATATTACGCCCATGGAAGTCAACATTCGAAGAGCGTGAGTTTTCTTTTCTCGTATGGAGACAGCTTTTAGGATTTACAAGAGTAGAAAAGTTACCCCGGCCGCGCCGGGGTAGGCTGAAAGTTACCCCGGCCACGGCCGGGGTGGCCGGGGCAGGTTCTCCACCCATGAGTGTGCCCTATTTATTTCACAGACGCTGTCAACCTGAACCCGACGGTGACCTGCCAAGAAAAGGATCTCGAAAAGGCCGTCGGCAAGTGGCTGACAAACTGCCGCGACCGTGACGGCCAGCGATCAGACCGGGGGCGAGGCCGTCCGCCCGCCCAGTGACTGTGTCTCGATGAGCGCAGAAAGAAATACAGGACTGTGCCTGATGTATGTTGTTTTTATGGGAATAAAGTGCTGGAAGGAAGCATATTTCGTCTCGCATGACATCGCACATTGACGGACAGTGCGAGAGCACCGCTGAACGTCAGGCTGGGAGGGACACTTTCAAATGGGAGCGTAACGTGGATTGGGTTTACATAGATTCAGGTGGGTGGCGTATATGGGGCCGGGTGGGGCAGGCATTGTAGGACAGGGCGGGTGCTGAGTGGCGAGTGGGTCCCATGTGGGGCCAGTGTGGGGTAGCCCATGCGGGTGGCGAATGGGTCCCATGTGGGTGGCAAATGGGTCCCATGTGGGTGGCAAATGGGTCCCATGTGGACTCCCAGGTGGGTGGCAAATGGGTCCCATATGGGGTCAGTGTGGGCTGGCCCATATGGGTCCCATGTGGGCGCCGCATGGGTCCCATATGGGGCCTACGTGGGCTGGCCCATATGGGTCCCACGTGTCACCCACTGCCATTCCCATGTGGGGCCCACATGAGTGGCCCACGCGGGACCCATATGTAAGAGGTGGGGGGCCCATGTGGGCCCCATATGGGAACCATGTGGGCATGTTTGCTGGGATGTGACCTCCCAAGGTCACCGAGGTCACCTGAGGTCACCATATTCGAAACGGCTGATGAAATCGCATACGCTGATTCGACTGGTGGTGTTTTCGTCACGATCGGCCCAGTAGTTCCTGAGTTATAGAATGGCTGCAATAGGCCACATTGGTCACGTGACCTCCCAAGGTCACCGAGGTCACCTGAGGTCACCATATTCGAAACGGCTGATGAAATCGCATACGCTGAATCGACTGGTGGTGTTTTCGTCACGATCGGCCCAGTAGTTCCTGAGTTATAGAATGGCTGCCATAGGCCGCATTGGTCATGTGACCTCCCAAGGTCACCGAGGTCACCTTAGGTCACCATATTCGAAACGACTGATGAAATCGCATACGCTGATTCGACTGGTGGTGTTTTCGTCACGATCGGCCCAGTAGTTCCTGAGTTATAGAATGGCTGCAATAGGCCACATTGGTCATGTGACCTCCCAAGGTCACCGAGGTCACCTGAGGTCACCATATTCGAAACGGCTGATGAAATCGCATACGCTGAATCGACTGGTGGTGTTTTCGTCACGATCGGCCCAGTAGTTCCTGAGTTATAGAATGGCTGCCATAGGCCACAACGGTCATGTGACCTCCCAAGGTCACCGAGGTCACCTGAGGTCACCATATTCGAAACGGCTGATGAAATCGCATACGCTGATTCGACTGGTGGTGTTTTCGTCACGATCGGCCCAGTAGTTCCTGAGTTATAGAATGGCTGCAATAGGCGAAAACGTAAAGTTGACCTTTTGAGGTCACCGAGGTCACTTGAGGTCACCATATTCGAAACGGCTGATGAAATTGCATACGCTGATTCGACTGGTGGTGTTTTCGTCGCGATCGGCCCAGTAGTTCCTGAGTTATAGAATGGCTGCAATAGGCGTCAATGCCGAGTTGACCTCTTGAGGTCACCGAGGTCACCTGGGGTCACGAGCTTCGAAACGGCTGATAAAATCGTACCTCCTGATTCGAATGGTGTTTCGTTCGTTCCGATCGGTCCAGTAGTTCCTGAGTTATAGAATGGCTGCAAGGGTGGCGGTCGAATAGTGTTGTCCAAACGAATGTAGGTATACAATGGTATCCTGCTTTTGCGGATACCATTGTATAGCCTTGCAAATGCTTGCAATAGCCGCCAATAATAAATAACGACGGGCAATGCTGCGCTGCGATTGCCGACAAGTGGCTATTACCAAGCTATTACACAGCACAGGTTCACGAAAGTATTTCAGTGAAGGTATTCGTTTTCACTAGTTTAAACATATATACAAAGCTATGTAATTGCCGAAACATAACAAGAAGGCTACCAATGCCAATAGTTAAAGGTACAAAGTAAATTTTGCCGGCAATGCGTGCCCTTTCCGATGCAAATATAAAATACTAGCGGTAAGTCTTTTCTGTATGTATCGTGCTCGCCATGTATGTCGCTTTGCGCCTTTTCGATGGCGCCAAAAATAAAAACACGGATTACACGTGGGAGAATGAGTGGGAATTCAATTGTTTTCTCTACTTAGTATTTATGGTTACTGTCGTTAGCATAAGTTGAATTGAAAATCGTGTGTATTTGGGATTCTGACTGCCGCGCATTCAAGGTAAGTGGAAGTAGGGAACAGGAAGGGATGTCAATGTATATGTCTCGCGGGTTTTAGCGGTTTTGCACCTAGATAATTTTAGTGCAATTAATTTTAGTGCACTTCAGGCTATATCTTCGTCGTCTTAAGCTTTTAAGTGCTGAAGATGCGATCGACTTGTTGGTTCACAAGCCGGCCATGATCGTGTAAAATGGCTCCATTGTAGATCGATTAGTTTCTGAGATATAACCGGAAATGTAAAAGTGCAAAACCTACCGCTCAATCTCGCGAGAGCCGTACCTGGCTGGTGTGAATCTTAAATTTTGCAATTTGCTGTTGATTTCAATTTTTAAGGCACTGAATTTAAATGGGTGAAGAATAGTGGGGATCGCAATTCACATGCATATATATTGGACAGATTTGATACATGGTTATATTTAAATAACATTTTTCTGTTCCAGCATCAGCTATGGAGGTTCCAGAGGAAGTCCATCATGTCCAGAGGATACTCTCTTCAATGCAGAAGACTCTGGAATGCAGGATATGGTCAGTCGTCCATTGTTATCAGCAGTGACACATTCACTCGTGACTCAGTCTTTATCTTTGTGATGTGTATGTTTTTAATTGAAATTTGGAGACCATGTTTGGCTGGAATCGCGATTTGGCGCATGTGGGCATTATCCATCATCCATGCATTTCTCGTTTTTTTTGTGGTTGTAAACATTTAAAAATGTGAAATGATGTTGGTCCCATGCGTTAGCAAGGGTGCCAAGGTCACGTGAAGGTCAGGTCAAGGTCATTGGCCTTTGATGACCTTTTCCCACTTTTTTGAGTTTTCCATGTTTTACATGTTATTTTATTACTCGGCCTCAGATTAAGCACCCGTTTGAACATTTACAAAATAGTTTTAGTGCTTTCGTAACAAGCTACGAACCTGTTAGTCGTTAACCCGCGCGGGGCTGGGGTCTCCAGCCGAACGCGCGGGGCTGGGGGGGGGGAAATTTTACCCCCTTGTCATCTCCCGAACTAATGGTCCGATTTGGAAAATTCAAACGCCAATCGAAAGCTCTCATCACGAACAACTAAAAACATGTACTTAATTTAAAGTTTGAGGTCAAGGTCAAGGTAAGGTCAAGGGTACAAATTGCAAGTTTCTACAGTATCGGCCTTGCACCGTAGTTGCCGAAGAATGGAGTCATGGACTGAGAATGATCGCCCAAAACGTGTTCTTAGGCTACCAAGACAATATCCGTCGCATACAATATCATTCAGAGGTCAAGGTCAGGGTCAGGTCAGGTCAGGTCACCAAAAAACAAAATATAGAAAAGGGCATGTGCGACACATGTTTTATGGGTCGTGTTACTCATAGAATTCAATAGGCACACTCAATAAGTGATATGGACCACCTCTGGATGAATTTCAGGTCGAGGTCAGGTCAAGGTCAGGTCAAGTGAGGTCAAATTTTGAAGTTGGTTGTTAAGGCCTAAAAAGGTGGCTATCTGATGCAGTTTTTCACGGCGAATCGAATGGTGCTATTTTTGTTTCCGTACGAGTTCTAGAACTTTCAAAAAAGTCATTTTTCAAAAAATTTGTGTGTCGTGACGTCATAAAATTTTGAATAACTCACATTTTTGAACCGATTCTTCTAAGATTTGGTATGTAGGTGCACACAGACCACTTCTCTGACATATATTCCGATTTTTTTCGATAGGCTCAAAATTTTGGATTTTATAATCATTTTCCCAAAAAAGTCAGTTTTTTTAGAAAAAAATTTAGGCCAAAATCCTAAATTTTCAAAAAACCGAGATAGCCATTTGATAGACAAAGTAGAATTACGTATAGCCTTTTTGTTACGTCTTGATTCCTTTAAAAATGAAGATGTTAGCGGCGTTTGAAATTTTGCCGTTTTTGAGGCGAAAATGGCGAACATGACGTCACTAAAACGTCAATTTCTCAAATATTTTCCGACGGATTTCGCTCAAATTTTCAGGGAACGTGTCAAATTAATGTAAGAAAGGGTACTGAAAGTTTGGCGGCCCTGCGCGCCGCCGTTTTTGAGATATTGCAAAAATTCGCGAGGGGGGTAAAATTTACCCCCCCCCCCCCAGCCCCGCGCGGGTTAACTCCTGTGCTTTGAATACCTGGCACGACGACTACTGTTTGACCTGACCTGACCTGACCCGAACTGGCCTAAATGCATGAAGACATAATCTGTGATAAAAACGCGTAAAATTGGTGACCAGCGCCCCAAAAAACTCCAGAACGAACTTACTTTACAAAGTTTCAACAGGTCCCGACTTTCCCGACTTTTTGGTCATTCACCTGACCTCGAACGCCAACCAATGACCTAGGACCTTAAAGTTGGCTATCATCGGCTTCCTCTTGGCATAGGCAGCATGCTCTTTTTTTCTCGCGAAGCTCTAGCTCGATCAGGGGCGAAGGGACACTCCTCCCCCCCCCCAACGCTAGCAGCTGGCAAAATACCGATATCTACCGGCGAGGGTTGATCCTTGCCAGCTGAGAGGAAGCGGGTGCCTCCTCTGACTGGTTTTTCACAATTGGTCGGAACGTGCCGGCATAAGAGAGCTGAAAGTTACCATACCGGATGTTTGATTCAATACTCTTTTGATTTGACTGATTTGAGGATCTTTTGACACCAACTGCATATTCAGGTCAAGTCAGGTCACTGACTTGTTCTGACATAAGTGAACCTCTGCGCGATCCTAAAATGTCACAACGGCCTCAGCGCTAGAGGAACTTTCAGAGGGATATGAAACTTACAGGGCTTAGGATTATCCTGAGGACGTCTCACAACTTGTATCTCATATTTTTTCTTGGGGTCACCTTAGGTCAAGTCGGGACGTGATCTCACCATCATAAGTCAGTGGGGGAAATGGTGTTTTTTTTTTTTTTTTTTTGGCGCCGAGAATCATTTAGGACTGCCTCAAGTACATGGAAACATAATTTCACAGTTCACACGCTCTTTGCATGGCCCGATGCTCAATTTTTGTATAGTTAACCCCGCCTGACGTCGAGTATGACGCCACTTCGGTCACCGGAGTTTTTCGTCAATAGTTCACGATCAAAGTTGAGATAGCCATTCGGGAAGACACCTGGGCAGAGGAAAATCTGCCAAATCGAATGATGTGCGATATGATATTTTTCGACTTACTTCGTGGCTGTGAACTGACCTCGACTTGAGGTCAGCACCTTAAGTTACCAACGCCCTAAGCCAACAACCTAACACTCTAAGATCAACACCTTAGGTTGGCCTCACTCAAACAAAGGGTGGGGGGGGATTGAGTAGTTAGGGAAGGGAAGTGTGCGGAAATTTGGCGCCGGTTTTGAGACACATATCGTTACAAAAAGGCTTATTAACCCCTTTCGCCTATGTCTACATAATATTACTGGATGCGCTGGCGCCGCTCACGTGCCCCCCCCCCCCGCCCCGTTCCAGTCTGGACCTGTTCGATGAACCCTCACAGACCAAGTGCGGCCACACGTTCTGCACCGAGTGTCTCCACCAGCTGACCAAGAAGCCTGCGCCCTGCCCGCTCTGCAAGGAGCGGCTGACGAGGCGCAGTTTCGCCGCCGACCGCCAGGCGGCAGCACTGGCGACGGCCGTCCGCCGGTTGGTCGCAGCAGTACAGGAGGACTGTGGCTTCAATGGTAAGGAGTGAGTGAGTGAGTGAGTGAGTGAGTGAGTGAGTGAGTGAGTGAGTGAGCGAGTGAGTGAGTGAGTGAGTGAGTGAGTGAGTGAGTGAGTGAGTGAGGGAGGGAGGGAGCGATGTAACAGGGAGACAGACTTTTGATTTTTTGGCATGAGATTCCGTTTTTTTTATAAACAACTTACGTCAATGGATGTCTCCCTGTCTTGGGTCGCAATATGCTTTTAGTCCCCATTCGTTTAGCGCCAGCCAACTAACCTCCACGGCATCTGTCCATCGCCAGTGTCGCCGTCCAAGTTCCGGCCTCGCCCGAGTATCGAGGCTATCGAGACAAACCCTGCGCGTCAGACGGTGGCGCCGGAGACAAACCCTGCGCGTCAGACGGTGGCGCCGTCCGCCGACCGCTCCGCCGCCACCGAGCAGCACGGCTCAGCAGCCGCCGGTGGTAAAAAGGCAGCTGCCAAAAACGGTGAGCACTGCGCCCGGGCCGAGTCGCGCTGGGGAGTGGGGCGGTTTGTTGGTGGCCGGAGAGGCGCGTTTGGTTAGTGACCCAGCCAGCCTTCCCAAATGGGGCCCATATGGGCCCCAAGTGGGCAGCAAACTGGGGCCCATCTGGGCTGCCCACTTGGGGCCCAGATGTGTTTGTCATGGGCGTCCAACTGGGTCCCATATGGGCAGCCCAGATGGGCCCCATATGGGGCCCAGCCGGGGCACATATATGGGTCCCACATGGGCTTTCCCAGCCGGGACCCACATGGGTATAATTGAAGAATCCCACATGGGGCCCATGTGGGTTCGAAATGGGACCCATATGGGGCCCAGCCGGGGCACATATGGGTCCCACATGAGCTTTCCCAGACGGGACCCACATGGGTATAATTGAAAAATCCCACATGGGGCCCATGTGGGTTCGAAATGGGGCCCATATGGGGTCCAGCCGGGGCACATATGGGTCCCACATGGGCTTCCCCAGCCGGGACCCACATGGATATAAGCGAAAAAATCCCACATGGGGCCCATGTGGGTTCGAAATGGGACCCAAATGGGGCCCAGCCGGGGCACATATGGGTCCCACATGGGCTTTCCCAGCCGGGACCCACATGGGTATAAGCGAAAAATCCCACATGGGGCCCATGTGGGTTCGACATGGGACCCATATGGGGCCCAGCCGGGTCCCATATGGGCTTTCCCAGCCGGGACCCAAATGGGTATAAGCGAAAAATCCCACCTGGAGCCCATGTGGGTTCGAAATGGGACTCAGCTGGGACCCATACCCAGCCAACATTACATTGGCCCCACATGGGGCCCAGGTGGCCCACTTGGTGGGACCCATGTGGGCAGCCCATGTGGGGCCCACATATATTTGTCCCTGGGTAAATGGTGGGGCCCACCTGGGCTGGCCCACGTGGGCTCAAGGTGGGTACCATATGGGGCCCACCTGGGCTGGCCCACATGGGCTCAAGATGGGTACCATATGTGGCCCACCTGGGCTGGCCCACATGGGCTCAAGGTGGGTACCATATGGGGTCCACGTGGGCCAGCAGATGTGGGCCCTAGGTGGGCCCCATGCTGGCTCACACCTCCCTAGCATCTTTTGTATTAATCAATAAATATTCACCAAAGCCCATCTTAGTTCCCACCAGAACCTACAATTAGTTTCAATATGATTATAATATAATCGATGTCTGCTATTTCAATCACTCCCCCTGATCATTGCTGAACGTTCGCCACCGCAACAAAACAAACTGTCAGTGATCAATATTTATATTATCGATACACACAAAAATGCTGTTTAAACTCTCTGCTCTCTTCTGCTCATCTCTAGACTTCTTCTCTCATCTGCTACTCCGCTTAAACTCCAGCTGGTCTCCTCTCCTGGCGGCCTCCGTCGCGGTTCCTGGCACCCGTAAACCACTTTCGTGGCGCCACCTCCAGCTGGCCGTTCGGCCGTTGGTGGTATCCTGGGTAAGCCCGTTCCGCCGCAAGGCTCCTGTAAAATAAGCAACAGCAATGTAAAATGTGCAGACACATAAGCGAATTGTGTATTGCCCGTGCTGTGTTCTACCATGATTCTGTATTACCTGCATTAAAAGTAACATCATTTGATTTGACTTGAATAATTGAGAAATGAACTTTAAATATTTTTTTGCAGGAAATAATCTGATGCAGAATAAACATACAAGGTCCGATTATGATGGACACAAAGGACATTAGTGCTTTATAAGTCGGCTGCTTGGAATTCGCTAATCGGACAGTAATTGACGACACCTGAAATAACATATGAATGGGAGTGCTGCTGTTATTCTGACATCCGCTATCAGGTGTTCAACGGAGTTGGGCAATTAAATAAAGAAATAAAACCATTACTTACTGAACACGACATCAAAAAGCCGGGTACCGCCGAAAGCCCTTTTCCCGTGCCGTCCATTTACGCTTAGTCGCGTAGCGAGTGCGCTCGTCATGACGCCTGCTATCGTCCTTCGGACCGGTGTAAGCGGGGGCGCTTACACCGAGGTCGGCGACAAACAGCCACCCGGAGTATCTGTCCACTGCCACGAGGTACTTCCTGCCGGCGTGATCGGCTAAGTCGATGTGTAGTTCGAACGGCCTTTCCGCTGGCGGTCTCCTCATCATGGTCTCTTGCTGCAGAGCGGGTAGATCTCTCTGGCAGCTGGTACAGCAACGGGTGACATTTTCCACATCCCGGTAGATCCCGGGCCAGTAGACGATCTGTCTTGCGCGGGCCTTCGTCTTCTCCTTCCCCAGGTGGCTGGCGTGGAGGGCTTCTAGAACAGTCCTTCGTAATCGCTGTGGTATGACGATCCTGCAGCCGATCCGGCCTGACCGACTGGACATCTCCACCGACCGCAGTGACGCCTTCTACCTCTGGAAGGAGAGATGGGACGACTACGTCCTGATGTCACAGCTGCGACTCGACCAACTAGCGATACAGCTGGCGTCGCTGCGGGCGCGCCTCTCCGAAGAGACTCGAACGCGGTCGTGGTTGCGGCGCGGCCACGGCTACGCATTCCTGCTTCCTTTCACTTTCGTTCATCGTACTTTGTACTCACTATGGGCGGGTTCGAGCTAATACCGACCGCGCCATGTGTCGGTTCCGCCCGAATTAAGGCTTTATTGGACACGCACACCACTCAGAGTCTCAACGCCAACTGGCCCGCCCAGACGCCGCAACCCCGCCAGCCGGTCGGCCGGTCACCGCCCCGGGCGGTGCAGAGGCGGCCCCAGGCCCCGTCCGGTGGGCCGAGCTCCGCCGGCGGGTCGCCCGCGCAGGGGCGGGCTCAGGCGACACAATCATACGACACAATCACAACATTGACTGTCCAATATCAGCCGTAGCTGGTCTCACAAACATCAACTATGCGACTTCCTCACGACGTCGAAGTGTATTTTGGAGGCATGAGACTAAACAGCGAGTTCTTTTTTCTTGTAATATCATACACATTGGACAGTGAAAAAATAAATAATGGGCTGCCCACATCCAGCCCACCTACACCCCACTACATGGGCTGCCCACGCAGTGCCCATGTTAAGCCCACCATACAGGAACACCGCGTGAATGCCTGTGTTCACCAAAATTCCTGGATATGCCCTCGTACATGTGCAAGCAATCTCATTATCAAGCATTATGCCTGCCAAAAAAATATGTGGGCAGCCCATGTGGGGCCCACATGCAGCCGACATATTTGCCCATCTCTAGCCCATGGCCCACCTAGCCCACCATGCCCATCAACTGCCCATGTGGGGCCCACATGGGCATGCTGGCTGGGGTTTTTCCATTTGGGCCCCACGTGGGCCCCGGATGGGTGTGCCCAGTTTGTTGGTGCCCAGTCTGCCCACATGCTGCCCGCATCCAGCCCAGATAGGTGTCGGGTCAGTTAACAAAGTGTAGTAAAGTTTGCCCATTTGGGCCCCATGTGGGCCCCGGATGGGTGTGCCCAGTTTGTTGGTGCCCAGTCTGCCCACATGCTGCCCGCATCCAGCCCAGATAGGTGTCGGGTCAGTTAACAAAGTTTTGTAGTAAGGTTTGCCCATTTGGCCCCATGTGGGCCCCGGATGGGTGTGCCCAGCTTGTTGGTGCCCAGTCTGCCCACATGCTGCCCGCATCCAGCCCAGATAGGTGTCGGGTCAGTTAACAAAGTGTAGTAAAGTTTGCCCATTTGGGCCCCATGTGGGCCCCGGATGGGTGTGCCCAGCTTGTTGGTGCCCAGTTTGCCCACATGCTGCCCGCATCCAGCCCAGATAGGTGTCGGGTCAGTTAACAAAATTTTGTAGTAAAGGAAATGTTCATATCCCAGCAAACATGCCCACATGGTTCCCATATGGGGCCCACATGGCCCCCACCTCTTCCATATGGCCCCACATGGGAATGGCAGTGGGTGACACATGGGACCCATATGGGCAAGCCCACGTAGCCCCATATGAGACCCACGCGGCCCCCACATGGGACCCATATGGGCCAGCCTACATTGACCCCATATGGCATCATGTATGAACTTGATGTACTTGGAGTCCAAAATACACATGAACAACAGTCACCTTTTTTGCTTTTATGCTCTTGGAGTAACTTAAATGGGGCCTACATGGGTGATCCATATGGGACCCACATGGGATGCCCATCTCCAGCCCACATGCGTTTGGCCCACCTGGCCCATTTTTCCCATATGGGGCCCATATGGGTAGCCCATCTGTAGCCCATGTCCCACGTGGGCCCATCTGGCCCATGTTCACCCCATATGGGACCCACATGGGATGCCCATCTCCAGCCCACATGCGCCTTTGGCCCACCTGGCCCATTTTTATCCCATATGGGGCCCATATGGGTAGCCCATCTGCAGCCCATGTCCCACGTGAGCCCATCTGGCCCATGTTTACCCCATATGGGACCCACATGGGATATCCATCTCCAGCCCACATGCGATTGGCCCACCTGGCCCATTTTTATCCCATATGGGGCCCATATGGGTAGCCCATCTGTAGCCCATGTCCCACTGGGCCCATCTGGCCCATGTTTACCCCATATGGGATCCACATGGGATCCCCATCTCCAGCCCACATGCGTTTGGCCCACCTGGCCTATTTTTATCCCATATGGGGCCCATATGGGTAGCCCATCTGTAGCCCATGTCCCACGTGGGCCCATCTGGCCCATGTTCACCCCATATGGGACCCACATGGGACGCCCATCTCCAGCCCACATGCGTTTGGCCCACCTGGCTCATTTTTATCCCTTATGGGGCCCATATGGGTAGCCCATCTGTAGCCCATGTCCCACGTGGGCCCATCTGGGACCCACATAGGATGCCCATCTCCAGTCCACATGCGTTTGGCCCACCTGGCCCATTTTTATCCCACACGGGGCCCATATGGGTTGCCCATCTGTAGCCCATGTCCCACGTGAGCCCATCTGGCCCATGTTCACCCCATATGGGACCCACATGGGATGCCCATCTCCAGCCCACATGCGTTTGGCCCACCTGGCCCATTTTTATCCCATATGGGGCCCATATGGGTAGCCCATCTGTAGCCCATGTCCCACGTGGGCCCATCTGGCTCATGTTCACCCCATATGGGACCCACATTGGATGACCATCTCCAGCCCACATGCGTTTGGCCCACCTGGCCCATTTTTATCCCATATGGGGCCCATGTGGGTAGCCCATCTGTAGCCCATGTCCCACGTGGGCCCATCTGGCCCATGTTCACCCCATATGGGACCCATGTGGGCATGTTTGCTGGGGCTCAGCCCATATGGGACCCAGATTTAGCCCAGATAATAGCCCACATGTAGCCCATGCCCACTTAAGCCCAGATGCCCCACTTTCAGCCCATATGGGCCCCATTTGGGAAGGCTGGCTGGGGAGGGGCGCTTGGCTAGTGAGGGAGATTTGGTGACCGGATGGGAGCGTGCGTTTAGTGAGGGACGGGGTAGAAACGATCGGCGATGAAAAGTTCCGTTTGTCCGTTTTTTTTTTCGCGGTGTTCAGTTTTTGGGTAGTTAAAGGAAGTTTAACTTTTTTAGGGAAGTTTTTATGCTGCGTTGATTGCTGAATTAGACTTTTAAAAAGCGGTGGCTCTCTTTACGGTGGAGTCCGTGTTTGAATGAAATTGGGTAAGCTTCAGTCAAAGTCTGCAGCCATTAATTACATGCTATTTGGTCCCATCCTACCACCAGAAGCTTTTATCTCATCCCACGCCCTCCACCCCAGTCTTATATCATTTGATTTTTACATCCTCATTTTAACTGGCAGCTACTCTCGTCTCAGCTTCCCTCATATTCCTTACCCTCAGCTGATATCCGGCTGACTGCGTCCTACTCTGACTCTCCTGGCCTCTGGCCTCTGACCTCTCACCCCCCCCCCCCCCCCTCCGTCCGCAGTGCGCACCACGGGCCGGGGCCGCCACCGGCGCTCGCCGCCGCGGCACGTCTACTCGCGCGCGGCGGCCGTCGCAGACGACGAGCTGGACCTCCTCTCGGCCAGTCAGGTGCTCGAGTTTGACGGAGAGCGGGTGGGCGAGTCGCTGGCTCCGCCGCCGCCGCCACTGCCTGCCGACGCCGAGCGGCGGATCAGCGGCAGAACGCGCGTCAACCTTTGGATCGGCGAGGCTCGGGAGGCGGGGTTCGGGATCTCCGAGGTGGAGAGCCCGACGATCGCCAAGCTGGACAAACTCCGCGAGAAGGACGGCGGTCGGCTGGAGCGTCGCCTGATGGAGGAGAAGCGCCGACTGGGGGTGGCCCCCCTGGACGACGCGGAGGGCGAGGCCGACAAGGAGAATCGACTCGATGTGAGCGGTGCCGAGGGGACCGTCGGCGGCAAGGGCGACGCTCGGAGAGTGGTGGATGAGAGTGTTGATGACGGGGACTCGGCGAGGGAACAGGGGTCAACGCCGGCGCCAGCCACCGCGAAACGCTTCTTCAAGGCGCGCGCCTCCGCCGTTGATGGCACGACGTCAGTGGAGAGGCAGACGCAGACCCAGACGGAAGGAACGGAGACAGCCGAGGAGGATCCCTACTTCTTCATCAGCAGTCAGCGCACGCCTCCCAAGAAGAAGAAAAAGAGGCAGCAGCGGACCGACAAGAAGACCAAGCCCTCCGCTGCCAAGAAGCTCACCGTGACGAAGAAGTCCCGGGCGGCGGGCGCCGGTCCCTCGGACGGACCTGCCGCCGATTTCGACGAGCTCGACGCGGAGGCGGCGGCTAGTCGCCGTCGCGCTCCGCCCCGCCGCGCGCGTCAGGCGGCCGTCCGCGCCGCCGAGTTCCTCGCGCTGCCCGGAGACACCACCCTCAGCCAGGAGAGCGCCGCCGACTCCGACTTCGAGCCTCCTGTGCCGAAAAAGACCCGGCGGGACGCGCCTCGCGCCACCACCCGTGTCGCCGCCAAACCGGCCCCGGTGACGCCGAAACTGCAGCTGGCGCGCGCTGAGCTCGGCACCGCCAGCCAGGAGGTGCGCGTCATCCAGGAGCTGTTTGATGACGCCGCGCCGCCGCCGGGTCAGGTGACGCCGCGCGGCGGCCACCGGGACACGATGACACGTGCCGAGGCGCTCAGGAAGAGCGAGGCGTCGGAGCAGGAAGAGGCGGTGACGCCCAAGTCGGTGACGTTCAGCGAGGATGTCACGGTGAAGGAGATACCGCGGGTGCGCCGGGAGGTGGCGGAGAAAGAGGGGATAGACGGCGAGGAGATGAGGGAAGTTGCGGAGGGAGAGAGGGAGACGGACCTCCCAGAACGCCCAGTTCAGACTTCACAAACGGGAGGCACCCGGCCGCCCAAACCCGGCCAGCCAGAGCCGCATATAACAAAACCAGGAACACCGAAACCACAAACAGCCCATCGGGAGGCGTCCAAGCCTCCGACATCAAACCGTCTGTCTGCTGAGAATCCTACGGCAGCAGGGGAGAACGCTGGGGTTTCAACGGCCGCTGAAGATGACTCTCTGGCCACCGACCACCCCGGCTCCTCTCAGTGTGATCTGAGCGCCGGCGAGCTGGCAGCCGCCGGCCTGCCGCCGCCGCCCGCCGCCCGCTCGCCCGGCTGGTCGCGCCTGCCGCGACTCAAGACCTCGTTCGGCCTGAAAGCGGAGCTGAACGTGAAGGGCGGCCGGCGCACGCCGACCAAGGAAGACCGCCACTCTGACGGGCCGCCGCCCATCGTCCCCTTCGACGCGGCCGACGACGCGCCGCCGTCTCCGACGAGTCGAATCGACGAGGAGGTGACTGCGTCGAGCGGCGACGACGTGGCGTCGGAGGGATTCACGGCGAGCCAGCCGAAGCGGATGGGGAAGAAGGTTCGACAGTATCGGGAGGCCGTGAAGGAACTGGAGGATGAGGTGATGGCGCTGGAGACGGAGACAGAGCGAGGAGGAGGGGGTAGGGCGGGAGAGGTGGTGCCCGAGACAGAGATGGAGATGGTAGAGGACGGACCAAACTGTCCAACTGACGCTGATATGGATCGGCAGGAGGCGTCCGGCGAGGCTGTGGAGTCGGCGGCTGGAGGGGGAGATATCTCAGACGTTGAGGACGCGGTTGAACTGGAGGGCACTCCGCCGCCTCTGCTGTCGCCTCAGGAACCCCCCTCTGCCTCTGCGCCCCGCCCCCGCTCCTCCCGGTCCTCTGCCCCCTCTGCCTCGGCCGGCGAGCGTCAGACAACCCGACTCAGCTCCCGCGGAACAGTTCCCAGCGCGGAGAGCGAGTCACTGCTCCGCGAGTCACCGCGGCGGGCTGACTCCGAGGTGCCCGCCAGTGAGTCCGTGATCCCCAACAGCGAGGCAGTACCTGTCGATCCCCCGGCCCCTGCGGACCGAACCCGCGGGCGCGGCGCGAGCGGCGAACGGCTGTCTGCCTCGGAGAAAGCACCTACGGGACACAGAAGCAGGACCTCCACAGAAGCGCACACGAGCCCTGGAACGAAGATCTCTCCGGTAGCATCAGTAGCGACCTCGGCAGATATGTTTACGAAGGCGTCATCGGTTAAGTCAGCATCTCGAGGCTTGTCTGGGGGTACATCAGGCTCCCCCACCGCGGTGTCAACCCCTACACCTTCAGCTGCGGGATCTGCGGCGCCAGCACCGGCTCCTCCAACCTCCAGGGCGGCTCCTCCCGACTCCAGGGCGGCTCCTCCACCCGGACCGCCTCCTCCGGACTCTGAGGACTACCAGGTGGATGTCGGCGTGCCGTCCGCCGGCCGGCGCCGCTCCGGCCGCGGTCAGTCCGGTCGGCTGTCCCGCTCCAGTCCGCGGGGATCAGCGGCGCACGGCGCGGACAGAGGCGCTGACGAGGACGAGCAGGTGAGGCGTGCGGCTGCTGCGGGGTTGGAGGAATGGAAAGGGTGTTGTGGCTGTTTGACTGTATCGCGATAGTGGCTTTATTGCTGAATTTTCTTTTATATCGTAATCAATAGGGGCATGTGACATAAAAAGTCGCATATCTGAAAAAGATATGTTGGAATCAAAATACTAAAATAGAATGTTACACTTGTGAAATCCCCCGTCCGTTGACCATCTCTCCCGTTTTCCCCAGGCGCCCGCTGCCCCGGCCGCCTCCCCGTCGGTCCGCCGGGCGGGGGCGGGGACGGGTCGGCGGCGGGCGGTGCGGGTCCGCCGGGCGGTGCCCAGCCGTCGGCTGCTGGTCCGCCTGCTGGCCGGCCAGCGGCGACTCACAGCGCTGGTCGGACGGCTGACCAGCGAGCTGAGCAGGGCTAGCAGCGCGCAGACCGGACCGGCAGCGGCCGCCGGCGTGCAGGCCGTGCTGGCGGCCGTGGCGCAGGCCCAGGCGGCCACCGCGGCGCTCAGGTAAGACACATCTCGTAGACAGACGTGTGGGTGAGGCGGGCGGGGAGCGCCGGACTGAATAATGAATGGGATTGGTTAATGAAAACGGCACGGAACACAGCCTTTGCTGGTAAGTTTGAGATACTTTTTGCACGGACTTACCAGTTACCATTCGTTGGAGACCTCATGATTTATTACGTTTTGTTGATCGATGTTTATTTTTTGAGCACCTGATTGTAAAGGAAGTTTCCATTTTCAACTTGCGCTTCTGCAACATTTTGTAAGACTTGGGTTCTATACCACTGGCTTTTGTCTCTGACCATCTCGCCCGTTCCCCGGCGTGTTCCAGGTCTCCGTCCGCCCGGAGGTACTCCTCTGCGCGGGCGGCCGCCGGCGGCGCCTCCCTCTCGGTCGTCACCCCGGCGTTCAGTCCGTCCCGCCGCCGGGAGTCCGCCCGTCGGACCACCCCCACTGCCACTGCTGGGGCGGCGGCCACACCGGACAGGACAGAGGCTAAGGAAGCGGCTGGTGAGCCATCCCCTCGACCTTCGACTCGAAAGAGCTCCGAGAGTCGTGCGGAGTCGAGTCAGACGGCTGAGAGTCAGTCGAAGAGTCGGAGTCGGTCTCGGAGTCAGCCGGCGGCGGACGATGAGGTTGTATCAGCGGGCTTACGCCGTTCACCGAGACGTCCCACGGCCCCCGGCGCCTCCCCCCGCACGCTGCGGACCCGGAGCAGTGCATCCTCGGCCGTGCCACCGACTGTATCCACTCCCAGTGGCGCGGGACTGGCTCTGGAGCCTTCGCGCCGGTCCGCGCGCCGCTCCCTGGCTGCTGATGTTGACGCCGAGGTTACCCCCGCTGCTGGTGGAGCTGCTGAGGATGCTGCCGGCGCTGATCACTCTTCTGAACCCCCAGCAGCCGGGGAGGATCTTGTGCCGCCGTCCCAGTCCTCCCCCTCGCCTCGCGGTGAGCTGAGCGCGCTGATGCGGCAGAACCCGGTCCCTGCTCCCGAGTCGGCTCCCTCCGTGGGTTTCCCCGCTGACAGTGAGGAGATAGGCCCGATGAGTGTCACACAGTTCGACCGCGTGGCCAGGGAGATGGCGGCGGAGGCTGCTCCGCCCCCGCCGCGGGATCTCTGTGACTTGGACACGGAGGAGGTGGATCAACTGATGGAGGAGCCTCCCGCGCCGCCGCCGAGAGAGACGACCGGTCTGGAGAGGGATGAGAGTGAGACGGCGGCGGCGCCAGCGGACCAGAGCAGCCAGGCATCGGCGCCGGGGGATGAGGCAGACACCAAGCGCCGCTCGGGCAGCGTGGGCTCGCAGAAGAGAGCCAGCTCCCCGCTGGGGTCTGCTGTGGGGAGTAAAAGGCCCCGCTCACAGCCTGTGACCCCAGCCAGCGCTGCCAAGGGCTCCAAGGAAGATCCAGAGGTGGTGTCTGATGATGACGAAGATTTGCTGTCTGAAGGAGACGGTCTGCAGGTGATTCAAGACGATGCAACTGGTACGAAGAAGCGTTCATCGACCGAAAGCAAGCTTCACACGTTACCCCATGATGCTGAACCTGAAGACGAAGCCATGGAAGATGAAGAACCCATTGAAGACGTGGCTGAAGTCGTTGCGGATCGCCGCAGTGCGGAGAGAAGCGGCAGAGAGCGGCCGGCGGGGACGCCTGGGGCGGGCGGCGGCAGCGGTTCCACCACCGACTCACCAGTTTGCCGCGCCCCGGGCCGGCGCGCCGCGCGAATCTCAGACGATGAGGCGGAGCCGGAGCCGCCCAGAGAACTCGATGAGTTTGCCAGTGACGCAGAGGACCGTGTGGAGATCGAGCGGCTGGCCGCCATGCCGGTGGACGAGTTCATTCGCGAGATCCAGGGGGAGGTCTGCGGCGCGCCGGTGGGTGAGTCCACTAGGCGCCTGTCGGAGGACGATGAAGATGGAAGACAGGATGCCCGCGGCGAGAAATCCATCACGGACAGTATGCTGCAGCAGGTGGACCTCCCCCCGGCGGACGAGTCCATCTGTGAGGTGCCGGCCGACTCCAGCCTGGCCGTGTGTGAGGACGAGTCCATTGTAGAGGGCGAGGGGAGGCAGTCTCGCCCCTCGGCCGGCCGCTCGCTGGGTGACATTGACCCGGACCTGGCGGGGGCGGCCGACCCGGCGCCGCCCGGCTCTCAGGACTCGCTGGCGGAGATTGTGGCGAGCAGTGGGGAGGTGGTGGCCTCTCCAGGCCGCGTGGCACACCTGGACACAGTGCTGGTGACGCCCGGGGGACGACGGCGCTCGGCGGCGGCTGCTCATCTCACCAACTCAGCTCACTCGGCTCAGAGCTCAGCTCACTCGGCCCAGCAGTCGCCCCGGCCAGCGCGGCGCTCCGGGCGGGTCATGAGCTCTGTCAAAATGACGACCGATACCCCGACCTCCACCACCAGTAGAACGAGAAACTCTGGCGATAAGCCAACACCGCCGAGAGCAGAGACAAACCAGACGCCGACTCGGAGTAAACCAACTCCCAGAGCTGAGTCCAAGACATCACCGAGACCCGCACCGACTCCGGAGGCTGAATTGTCCGCTAAGGACCGCTTGCCGACCACCCCTGCCCAGCCGGCCCCGGAGTCGGACCTGATCCCTAGCAGCCCGGTCGGGCTGGAGGGCTCCCCGCCGCGCCGGCGCAGCGGCCTCTCGGCCAGCTCCCCGCCGCGCCGGCGCAGCGGCCTCTCAGCTCGCTCTCCGCCGCGACCGCCGGCAGCCACCAGTCCGAGCAGCGAGGACCTGCTCGTGCCGCCCGGCTTCTTCAACGAGAGTAGCATGTGTGTGCCTGCGGCTGAGACGAGCGTGCGGGATACCAGCGGGCGGGAGAGCGACACCAGCCGGGGAGGCGCGGAGCAGGCGGAGGCTACGCGTCACGAGCCGGCGAAAACGGTGAGTGTAGTTTGGATGTCCAAACTTGTGATGGGACTATTCGAATGAAGCTTCAAAAATGTACTGACAGTGCCCCGGCCGCAGGTGCCCTCTGCATTTGAAAGGGTTGTTTTCATTACTGTGTTACCTACTTGCGTTCAAAGTTGAATGTTTCGGCTCTACCGACCACGTGGTTGTGTTGTGATTTTTATCGTGCATTTCCATAAGACAAAATCGAACTTACGAAGAATGAACCCTCCTGACATCAGTCAGTGGTGGGCTTAGGGACAGCTTAATTAATAAAGTGATATGCTGACGCATTTTTCTCATTGCCTTGCAAAGTCAACATTAACCCCGCCCCTGTCTCTCTGCAGTCTCCGTCTGCCGCTGCTCCGGGTTCTGCCGCTGGTGCTGCGGGCTCTGCTGCTCCAGACCCCTCCGGTGTCCGTCGGGCGGTGCTGCCTTCCGCCGCCTCCGCCGCCTCTGACCGTACCGGCACACCCACCACCACCGCTGCTGCCGCTGGCGGAGACGCAGCAGAGGTCTCCGAGACGGAGTCTGAGGACATGTTCTCCGCCAGCCGACCCACCGAGACAGCCGCGGCCGCCGGCAGGAAAAAGGATAGGTGGGTTAGGGGCTGGGACAGCACGGGCGGCGTGTGGCTAGCCGCGTGGGGTGTGCTGCTAAACTCTGTTTGGCCTGTGTCCCGGTTGAGTGAGTTTCCGGGACAGTGTTAACCTCTTGCTTAGAATTACTTGGATAATCGTATAACGACACAATTGCCGTATCATTGGCATTTTTACGGACTAAGATGTGTAGATCAATAAACTAATTTATATATCGCATTCCTTTTCAGTATAAACGAGTGGCGAAAGCACGAATGTCACTTAGGAAACTGTGCAGTAGTCCAGAAGGTAGCCTGTTATGTAACCCCGTTTTAACCACCGGCACCCTGCTGTCCTCAGCCCACCGCCGCCGCCTCCCCGCCCGCCACCTGTGATGGTGGCCTCGGGCCTAAAGCGGCCCGAGCAGGAGGCCGCCCAGCGGCTGGCGGCCGCGCACGGCGGTCGCTTCCTGCGCCAGTGGCAGCCCGGGGTGACGCACGTGATTGTACGCACCGGGCCGCGCCTGGAGGCCGGGCGCACGCTCAAGTTTCTGCAGGGCGTGGCGGCGCGGGCCTGGCTGGTGGCGGCAGCCTGGGTGGAGGATAGCCTCGCGGCAGGACGACTGCTACCGGAGGTGAGACATAGGGAGGGTAGCCTCACTTCTCGTTGGGACTTCTGGTTCGTAGTTTGTGTTATTTTAGATCCTGTTGCACAACGATCAGATCCTCTTGATCTTGATGAACGTTGCTCGTTGCAGTTTCTAAAACATTTCTATTCTAGGGACCAGCTCATGAGAAATGAGGGAACGAGTTATCCTGATTTGCATCTTTTTGGTGAGCCCAAACAATCCTGCAGCTTCGATCTTAGACATCCGCGTCGTTGCTCGTAATTAAGCAGAAAATAAATACTTATGCTCAATTAAAGGAAATAGTTCACTTTCACGAAATTATTTTTTTGCAATGGATTTATGATTTTTTATGTTCAAAATGATCAGCAAAGAAAATAAAACCTATTTATAACAAAAGATTATTTTCTATATTTTGATAATAAGAACTTTTCAGTTTCTGTAAGGCACAGGCGATCCAGTATGAAAAGAGCATGGGTCCCGAAAATTCTTCAGAAACTAGAGAAATGATCGCGGCCACCGGCATTTGGGCGATCTGCTGCTGCTGAATGTCCTTATTGATCAGTACGAGAATTTCTCTAGAGTTCTCGTAGATAATTTCTCTAGTTTCTGAAGAATTTTCGGTACCCATGCTCGTTTCATACTGGATGCGAATATATGCAAGGCACACATCCTCAACGCAAGACACATTTTTCGGGACGAGAAATAGAATATATTTGCCTAGGGTGATCGTTGGGCTGTAAAAGCTCCTGATTTATGCTCGTCTCAGCCCAGGCTACGGAACTGCTATTCCAGTTCAAAACCCATGTTAAAAAGTGAACTATTTCCTTTAAACAAGTAGGTATACTTTTCACCGTTACCTAGGTACCCTTTCGCTCGTTTTCACTGCCCCTCCTTCCCCTGCCCTGCGCGCCCCTTTCAGGAGGATTACGAGGCGATTGACAGCGCCACGGGCGAGCCGGGGCCGCGGCGCGCCCGCCAGACGGGCGGCGCACTGTTCGCCGACTTCACCTTTTGCTGCGTGGGGCCGTTCAGAGACGTCACGATGGAACAGCTGGAGGTGAGCCGCCCCCTGCTAGGGCTCGTTCGTGACGTCACATGCCCCCTCCAAGGGTAGTTCTGTGACGTCATTCTCGAACAGCTGGAGCTCTAGGGGCCGCCCGATCTCAGTGATCTAGCTAAAACATGTTAACTAAAATTTCCTCATTCGGTAGCGGGATTGGGTATGTAAGTGATATATTTGTTAGGACATATTCAGCAAAGCGTATTAGCAATAGAACATGGGAACTCATGCATTTCTCGGCAGTATAGCCTCCATGTACCCCTCATATAGCCTGTCTCCCTTCTCGGCCCCTGATCGAACCCCCTCCCTCCCCGTCTAATGCACCCCTATCAGTCGCTAACCGGACCCCTCTAACTCTCCCTCCCCTCCCTCAGTCTCTGACCGGACCCCTCTGACTCCCCCTCTCTCCCCCTCAGTCTCTGATTGGTCAGTCTGGCGGCGCGGTGGCCTCCTCGCCGGCGGCGCTGGCCTCGGCGCCGGGTCGGGTGCGGCTGATAGTCGCTCAGGAGGAGTGCGACCACGACTTCTCCGGCTGGCGGCGACGGCACGGCCTGCCCAGCGTCTCCTACGAGTGGCTAATCGACTGTGTGGCCACCCAGCGCCTCTGGAGCCTGCTGGATAACACCCTGTGCGGCGCCAGTGAGGCAGAGCTGAGACAGGCCGGCGTGCCGCCCGAACTGTGCCTCGCTGAGACACAGGAGACAGAGTACTTTGACTCAATGGGACTGTAGAGGTGGGCAAGGTGTGTGTGTAGCCGGTATTTTGACTCGATGGGACTGTAGAGATGGGCAAGGTGTGGAGTGAGTACTTTGACTCAATGGGTCTTAGAGGTGGGCAAGGACTTGTGGGGAGTAAGTATTCTGATTCGATGAAGCTGTGACAGGGGGACAGGCTGTATGTTGATCAAGTACTTTGCCATTGGGATGTGAAAAGCGTGTTTCAGACGCACAGATAAAATGCTTCGAGTTGATTGAAGATAAAGTAGTTGGTCGTTCAACCACACAAAATAAAAACTTTGACTTTGTATCTAGCCGTGCCACCTTTTTATCAGTGCCTGCATGCATGCGAAGTAAAAGTCATTCCAGTAATTAACCAAGTAACATAAGCTGCCTACTTTGTCGCGAGACAATGTGTGCGTAGTGGAGCATTGACTCGTGCGAGGCTGTGTCATGACTCATGTCCACGTGCCTTATCAGATCTGTTGGCTCACACCCTCAGAAGGGGACTGAAGAAGGCACATAGCGCCCAGTCAGTGGACAATCAGGCTGCTGCCTTGTAAAGTAATCTTCGCTGCCTTTGCCAGACGCTGTCTTCCCTGATGCGTAATGTAGCGTGTAGGTCGCTGTCGCAACTCGAAGTGTATCGCTCGCTAAGAGGGCATATTTCGGAGAACACCTGGGTGAAGAAATGAATCGCCTCTCAGTAATAGAAGAGCTAAGCGAGCTAAACCTCGCACTGTAGTTAACCCGGGTGAAGAAGTGAATCACCTAAGAAGATGAGACGCTCTTGTAGATGATAACGCGCTCTCGGCGTGCTGAAGTCTGTTTTTCTTCCCTTATGTAACTATTATAGTGCTGTGGAGCGCGGGAGCTCTAATAGTATTTTGTTGATGCACGAGATTTGTAGATCGTTGGCTAACGACGATACTGAACAGTGAACATAGCCGTTGGTTAACAATCGCTCTGTGAATGAACGGGTCGTGTGTATGAACAGGGTGTTTGATGTAGCATCTCTTCCTAGACTGCGCTGTGACAGTCGAAGGCAGCGGGTCTTCGCCACCATTTCGAACTGCTTCGGGCTGTTATGTAAGAAACGTATCGCTCACGTGCCATGCTACGTGCCTTCTCTACCCTGTCTTGATTAGTCTTTGTTGATCGGATGATTGTGCCTCTGAAATATACGCTAGTGTGTTTTGAGGACCGCTGTTTTTAGGATGCCGCTGTTGATAATGGTAAGGACGAGTGCACTAGCCGACGAGCCATTTTGAAGACGTCTGTGCCATTTCAGGCTGTTGCCTGTCATATAAAGTTCTAAAACTACTACCTTTGGTCCTAAATGGTGGGCCGGTGGCTTAGTTAGAATCAACATCGAGTATGTCCGCTTCAGTGATGGGCTAGGCGGGTAAAATTGCGGTACAGCCTAATTCGACTTGCGATATCACAAGACCCAGCAGCCCAGCGTGCTGACAGTTGGTGGGCCACGTGCAAAGCTGAACACTGCCAGACCGGACAGGATTCACATATGACTGTGTGCTGAGGAGGATCGGAGTAATAATTTAGTCCATAGATCCGTTGTGGCAAGGTAGCGAAAATACCTTCAACAACGTGATCTGTTTTGAAGTTATTTACTACCTACTTTGGTGCCATATCTGCTACCAAATTTTGCGCCATTTCTAAAATAAGCGGCGTTTGCGACGCAGTCAATCTTTCGCAACGATACCGTGCGTAACGGCAACGAATGGAAAGAAAAAGAAAAAATACGGAATACTGATAAGCTAAAAGATCTATAAAATATCTGTAAATAGGTTATAGGTATGTGACCTGTCGACCAGTGATTTTATATACCTTGGTGTCGACATTCTGTTACCATAAGGTGGGGCTATTTGAGACAGCATTTAAAATTGTTATAAAATAAAAATAATTTGAAATTTATGCTTAATTTTTGCTCAGGCGATTTACTGCTCGATTCCACACCTCCCTGAGCAAAAATATCACGCCAAAATCAAACGACCTCCATTTTATAGTGATTTTAAATACTGTCAAATAGCCCCACTTTACACTCAACACAACAGTATTGGTATGAAAACAGTATGAACAGTATGAAAAACATTCAATATCAATGTATCATGTATTACAGATTAAAAGTATTAAATGTATAGGGATTAAATGTATTAGAGATTAAAGTTAAGTCAATGTCATGTGATCCTAGCAGCTATATACATTTTTCTACCCATTTTTCTGCTCAAACTATGTAGTTGACTGTTGTGTTGTGTTGTGACCTTACCTTACCAAAATTCTGTATTGGTAAGGTAAGGTAAGGTGTAGCCGTAGAAATAAAGACGGCTGTTACACTTGAAGCTCGCCTCAAGCCTGAAACTGTCAACATTGTTTGTGGATGGCACTTCAAATTATCAGTTAAGAAAGCACAGTTAATTGATGATTATGACTGTCAATGTCATTTTTCCCATGACCTTTGTTGCTTATATTTTATAATTTATGCATGGTGTTTTGATATTTCCATTGCTGTTTTTTATTTCTGCAGAAATGGCCACAGCAGGTGCTGAGGACCTGCTCAGCGAGGCGCAGTTCCTGGCGCTGCAGGAGGAGAAGGAGCAGCTGATCAAGGAGCAGAAACTGCTCAACATGGACATCAGGGCCATGAAGCTGGAGATGACAAAACGCTCAGGGTGGGTCGGCTGTAATCAGTGGATGGCCTGTTCCGAGGACACTTTTATCACCAGAAACATTGCTGACTGTGGTTGAGATTATCCATAGCTGGCCATATTTTATGTATGGTTCAGGACTTCAGGTTCATATTGTAACTAAGTGATCAGTGGCTGACAACATAAATGATTAAGGACAAAATTGATTAAAAGGAGTACATTCTCCCCATGCAGCCTTTCATGTCATTTTTGTCTATTTTGGCTTCAAGTACCTACAGAATGATAGTGCAAGTTGAAAGTCATCAGCTGGATGTGCTCATGATATGTGTAAAAGGTTTAATTGGCTGAATTTTAGAGGTTGAAGCTGCAGGTGCAGCACCCCATCTGTAAAACACAAAACAGGAACAAAACTTACAATAATCATTTTGCAAGTGGCAAAGGTATGCAGTGGTGATTACTCACAAGTAGCATGCATTGTGAATAGGCAAATAATGGGTAGACAAGATGAAGTTATCCTACAACAAAGCTCAGAAATTAATTTGCCAAGTAGATACTGAGATATCAGCCTCTCAAAAGTGGGACCATGGCTGGTCGCTCATTGTTTAAAAAAATCTGTTTATCTATGGAGACTGCAGCTGCATCGCTGGTGATCATATGACCATACTTATTGTACACTGGTGTGGCGCCCTCAGCGTCCAATTCCTCTGCGGTAGTGACCCTCGCTGTCCTCTCTTGCCACCCCAGTCATGAGCCGGTGCCTGGGGAGCCGAGCTCTGGCCGCAGTGACCCTCACCATCCGACCCTTCTGCGGTAGTGACCCTCTCTGCCCTCTCCCGCCGCCCCGGCAGTGAGCCGGCGCCTGGGGGACCGCGGGCTGGCTGGTAGTGACCCTCGCTGTCCTCTCCCGCCGCCCCGGCAGTGAGCCGGCGCCGGTGGAGGCGCGCGCTGGCTGGTAGTGACCCTCGCTGTCCTCTCCCGCCACCCCAGTGAGCCGGCGCCGGTGGAGGCGCGCGCGCTGGCCGCCGAGCAGCGTCTGGCGCAGCTGTCTGCCGAGCTGACGGGTCTGCAGCTGGAGGAGGTCAGCTTCCATCTGGTCTCCGCCGAGGAGGGTGTCACCGTCACCCGCTGGAGGGTGCGCGCCGTCAGTGAAGACGCCAACGCAGAGATACTGCTCCACTACGACACCACCAAGGACGAGGTGAGTGGACAGCCCACATGAATTAATTGTGCCTTACCTCTCCAGTCGCTCACATTCTCTTAGCCTGTTCGTATCTCGAACCGAATCGGACACGCTACCTCGGCTACATCGCTCCGGCTACCACCGTCCGCTTCCTGCTGCCGGGTGACGTGTCAACCCAGGTTCTATTTATCTGGGGACATGTTTTGTTGCGTCGTTCCGGTCAACTTCTATGGGCTTTGCTCGTACTGTTTTCACGTTTTCTATTCTGTCTACTCCCATGAGTTCTCATGTCTAGTTGTTTATGACAACCCATTCGTTTTATTACCGTAATGCTGCCGGCGCAAAATCCAGTAGCCCCAAAGTGACTCAGACTGTTGATCCGCCGCTCCGCCCGGCAGCACTCTAACGTGACGTGCTCCGGTCCATATATAATATCCCAGACTTTCCCTGACCCCTGACCCGCCGCTCCGCCCGGCAGCACTCTCACGTGACGTGCTCCGGTCCATATATAATATCCTAGACTTCTGTAAAGTGTGCGTTAGTTATTCGCAATTAGTTCGTAGTCTAGTTATACCTGCGTGGTGGCTATAATTCAATTTCGCATTTTCAACGCTTATTACCTTTACTGCTCTCCGCCCGCACTCAGCTCACCGCAGCTGACCCCGCGGTCGGCCCAACGACGCGTCATAGTTTATCCATGTGTGACTCATTGTCTCCAGCCCGCCACGACGGTGCCGCTGAGTCGCGCCAGCCTGACGCCCGCCATCCGTCATTCATGCCGGCCCGCGCAGAATAGTGACCTGGTTAATGTCCACCAATGCTTCTGACGCGCTTCTTAGAACGATATCGTGCTACGCCCCCCTCAACCACGGTGCCAGCGCGTGACGATTGGCAACTCATCTGACACGTGTCTTCTGAGAGCTACCAGAGGGCCGAGGGGCGGTGACATAGTAATAACCAATCACAAGACGAGTCTCAAAGCGAAAATGTTTTAATCCAATAGCGGGCCGTCACGCAGGATAGTTTTATACTCTAGTATGTGGTAGGAACTAGGTCGGGGTGAGCCGAGCCGAGAGCTCCCCGGCAAAGGGAATGGTAGAAGACCTAGAGCCATCATCGGCGTAGGACGTGTTCTCTCTCGCTCGAGGAGACCTCCGAGCTCCACAGCCGCTGGACGCATACCATCTGCTCCGCGTGCTTGTGTAGAGAAGACCCCCGGCCGTCACCCACGCCGGACGTGTTTCTGCATCGGTCTCGACCGACACCGTAGCTGACCATCTGTTGATGTTGTTGATTTTCCCTCCGGCCGCGGGTGGCCCCGCGGCGTAGCCTCATCGGCTCTGGAGGGCCCTGAAGGCGGCCACCAGGGCCGCCACCACGTCACTGCGCCAGACCTCGTCGGGTGTTGGTAGGATGTTCCCTACGGCCGGGATTTTGAGGCGAACACCCATCAGGCCCGGGCACGTGAGCAGGATGTGCCGGGGGGTGTCCGCCTCTTCGCCGCACAGCGGGCACCGGGCGGCCTCGCATAGCAGGTCCCGGCATTGGGCGCAGGCGGCTGAGGGGCTCCGGCCGATGGAGTGCAGGAACTGGGTCGATCCACTCCAGTGGCCAGTCCGGATCTGGTGGACATCGATGGCTGTCCGCCGATCCAGGCCGGAGACCGGGGGCGGGTATCTCGTACCCATCAGCTCCCGGTACCAGCCGGTCGCCGCTCTGCGTGTCGGGTCTGGGTATGACGGTCTGTCCCTGGCCGCCTGGTCCCTGGCTAGACGGGCCGCAGCCTTGTAGACGGTGTTGACGTCGATGGAGGCGATTTCTTGATCCAGCGCCGCCGCCTCCCCCGCCAGCACGTCCGCCGCCTCGTTGCCTGGGATCCCACAATGCGATGGGACCCACTGCAGCGTCACGTGGCGGTCCGGTGTGGCGATTTCCAGCAGGCGGCTCCATATCTCCGCCCCCTGGACCGTCCTCTGGGCCGAAGGCCCCTCTCTCAGTGCAGCCAGGGCAGACTGTGAGTCGGTACAGATTATTATTGGCAATGTGTCGTCACGAGGGTGTGTCGCCAGATGTTCCAGGGTCATTGCGATGGCCAGCATCTCCGCCCTGAAGCTGGAACAGAGCGCTCCTGCGGGCCTTTTCAGCTCAGTGCGGTCATCATCGGCGTGGACGACCAGCGCGCCGGCCCCTCCACAGAGAACGCCTCCAGTCGCCGACCCGTCGGTCCACACCCAGGTCGCACATTGGGTCAGGGACGCCAGGTGGTGTAGGGCGGCTTCCTTCTTCGTGGAGGCGGCAGTTCCGGCTGGGAGCCCCGCTCCTATGTCCAGGTTAAAGCTGATCGTGCCGGTCGGTTGCCAGGGCGGGGGGCGCACGGGGAGCAACGGCTCCACCGGTGGCTCCACTCCAAGGGTCCGCCACACCTCCCGACCCAACTGGCGCCATCCGCAGACGGTCTTGAGGCGCCGCGGTGGGTCCGCCACGGCCAGTCGGTGTAGCGGGTCCTCCTCGGGCAGTGCCATGGCCTTCGTCAGCATCCTCGCCGCCAGTGCTGTGCGGCGCGCCGCGACCGGGGCCACGCCGGCTTCGGCCATTACTCCATGGATGGGGGCCGACCCGATGCAGCCCGTTATGACTCGGGCCGCGGCACGCATCTCGCGTTCCAGAACTTCAATGTTAGTCCTGGCGGCCGCCGGCATCCAGGCGGCCGCCGCATGTTCGATGGCTCCCCTAACGTAGCCGTTGGCGACGGCTCGGAGTTGTCTCTCCTCCAGGCCCCAGCTGCGACCGGTGATTCGTCGTAGTTGAGAGATGCGAGGGCGGACGCGGCGGCGGAGGTTCCTGCAGTGGGGGCCGAACCCCAGAGTCCTGTCCAGCGTTACGCCGAGTAACTTCAGTTCAGGGCCTCCTTCCACCGTCTGGCCCGCCACACGGATGCGGCAACCGACGGCGTCCCGGTGGCTCTGAGACAGAACTAGAAGCTGGGTTTTCTGGCCCGCCACCTCCATCTTGTTCTCCCGGGCCCACTTGACCAGGGTATCGGCCGCTCGTTGTGCCCGCTCCCGCGCGACTTCAATCGTGTTACCCGAGCACAGTGTGGAGGTGTCGTCCGCAAACATGTACGGAGTAGTGCCCGGCAGGGCTCGGAGGGTCATCTCGCTGTGTTGTGCTCGTGAAACAATACACCTGGACCGGCAGAGCATCTCTTCTGGCAAGGGCTGACAACAACACCGGCGCGCCCCGCCCTGGGCACGAGAAACCGCCGTGTTACATTGGTGCCGCTGACGTCGGATCGAACCTGCCGAAGAAGCCGTCTTCTCACTTCCATCTCCTTCTTCGTGCGCCGACTCTTCAGTCCGAACTCTGTCGCTGACGAACTCTGTCGCTGACCAACTCTGCCGCTGACGAGCATCTATACAACGCTGCTGCGCTCCAGCTGCTACCAGCCAGCTCTCACGGCTACTACATCTGCCGACACTTCACTGTGAGCCGCTGAACAATAGCGCTCCAAAAGTGAGTACGCCAAAGCTCGGCACCGTTTATCTTAATCAGTGCCAGCTCAAGGTACAAGTACCCGTACAAGTACCAGTCATAAAGGGCTCTGAAGTCGAACTGTACCAGTCAGGCCCCAATTTGCCCGAGTATACGGCAGCCATCTCAACCAGCGCTCGATCTAAGCCGCTGATAACTCCAACCGACCGTCTCTCGTCATCGAGACAAAGTTTAACAGGAAAGAGAGTTCAACTCGCGCTCTCCAACGAGGTCAACTGACGTCATCAGAGAGGTCAACTGACGCTCTTCTTCGAGGCATCTTCATCGAGTGACTTCAAAGGCGCTCCACACCCAGCGCTACAACCAGACTCTCTCGCGCGTAATCGAAACAGTCCGCCCGGCGCGTATAGTGAGAGTGATAGTTAACGGAGTGAACGAGCCATCTTCGGTGACGCCAACAAAGGTACGTCTCGACATCTCCCGAGTGGCACTGGATTTTAATTTTACTTTTGCAAACTAAAAGATCAGCGTAACGTAAATGGTTCACTTTATGATTTTGTATTTTTGGCTCTCAATCGCGTCAATCATGGCTCAATCCAACTCGTCCCGCCTGCATGCTCCTGGTTCTGAATCCTCCAAATCCTCGGTGAAGGTAACAAGGAAAAATACCAGTGTTCCCCAACGCCAGCCAGCAAAGGACCGAGAGTTATTAAGAATAAACCCATTTGGCGACAAACTAGACTTATGGCGCGCAGAAATAAACAAAGCCGACCTCTTCGATCTAAGTTCTAGTGAACGAGCCGAACGCCTAGAGCTATTATCAATCATTAACGAAAGAGACACTTATCTTGGACGAAAGGATTACGAAACCCAACAGCGACGCGTCAATCAAGCGCCCACTCAACCGGACCCTAAATACCCAGATCTTGAGAAACTCAGATTCGTGTGATTAGGTACTCCGAAAAGCACACGGATGACGGAATTAGTGCAGTTGATGACTACGCCTGAAACAGGATTACGATGTTTAGAGAAGCCCTTATGAGGTTGCAAGAGTCTCTCTTTAGGTCGGCATTTACCTAAGAGAGGAACATATATTAATTGATGGCCGAGCGCGGTCAAGTCGCGTAAGGTAACTGATGTTGGTCTGCTTTTCTGAGTAAAGCCAACAAACGTATTAGACAGGTGCACTGCAAATTTTCAGAACCCTTCAGCAGCAATAGGTGACACCACAGTATCTCACCGCAGTTACCGGACAGTGGAGAGCATGGGCGTTATCGCTGCCACAGAGGCTGCACGATTAGGTCTGAGGTCTCGAGCCTCTCGAAGGGTTGTGTACGACGGAACGTACACCAGAGCTGCGTAATAGAAGATACAAATGTCTATTTTTTTATGAGTGCCCTGCAATCGAGAGACGAAGGTGCAATCTGGAACAGATTGTCTGGCAGTTTAGCTAGCAATCCAAATGACGTTGACGTTCAACAGCCATTTGCCGTGATGTAGCACCATGACTGAGGTGACTCATCGGA